TCCTCAGTGCCATCCCTGCATTCCTCAGTGCCATCCCTGCGTTCCTCAGCCCCATCCCTGCGTTCCTCAGTGCCATCCCTGCATTCCTCAGTGCCATCCCTGCGTTCCTCAGTGCCATCCCTGCATTCCCCAGTGCCATCCCTGCATTCCCCAGTGCCATCCCTGGGCACTGCCCTGACTTCCTGGAAGCCCCTGGCCAGGCATTCCCCTCTCAAGCTGCAAATGCAAAGCTGGAGAAAGTGGGGAGCATATAATAACAGCGTGGCTGCAGCACATGTGGGAAATAAATTCCATAACTGCTTGTGAAACTAATAAACTCAGCAATGCAGCCCAGCCCAAGCCACAGGGAAGCTTTCAGTTCCCACGGAACCAGGATTCAGAATGGCAGTGGCTGTTCCCCTTGACACGCAGAACAAGTGAAGGCCAAGCTATCAGTGCACTGCCTACACCTCAAACAAAGTTCTTTTTATCAAAAGCCTTCTGATAAACTGATGACCAGTTCACTGACTTAAAAAGTCAACACTAAAATGATCCTCAGGTGCGACTTTACACCCGAAACCCCAGGATTTCCATCTCATGCTTTTGATGGTGGGTTTATCCAGGGGGAACATGGACTTTTCACCTTTGGTGGCTTTGGTCCCACTCCCACAAGCTGAGTTACCAACTTCTGATGGCAAGCTCCACCCCTGAAAGGGTCATGACTTCCCTCTGAAATCCTGGTTGAGCAGGGATTTCATTCTGTACCAGAAGGTGCTTTTAACAAAGAGAAGCTGAGACAGCTCAGGTGCTGTCAAGGACTATATGCTTGAAACACCTTTCAATGATTTAAACACTTCTCTTCCTGTAACACATTAAAATGCAACAATCCAGTAGCAGGATCAGTATCAACACAGCTGTATTCACCCTGCTGTGACATCACCCAAGCTTTCAGAAGTTCTGAGCATTTCAGTGCACTCACCTCCTTATCAATCAGCCTCAGTGCATACTTCACTTCAGGATCCTTCAGGGTGATGGCAGGATGGGGATTCCTGAAGATCCTCATGATGGTGGTGTAGATGAGCCATATTGGGTACGTCACAACCTGACGCAGCTGCAGCAACACAGAGAGAGTGTCAGACGTGTGTGCACACCCAGAGGAAGTTATTTTGGTGAGAAGGTCTATGGTAGCATGGCAGGGCAATCTAGCCACAAAAAAAAATAAATAAACTGTTTCTTTATACTAATATGAGCAGGAAGTATTATTAAAAAATACCAAACAACAACAAATAGCAGCAAGTGTAACACACAAATTTGCTTTATGAATACTTGGCATTACCCCTACGCTGAGGCACTTCCAGCTGACCAGGATTCCCAGCTACTCCTCCCCTGAATGTCCCAGATGTTCACCCCCTGCATCCCATGTCCCCCAGCCTCCACTGGCATTGCAGATCACAGAGTGGGTCAGGCTGGAAGGGACCCCAGAGGGTCATTGGTGCCACCTCCCTGCTCCAGCAGGGCCATCCCAGAGCACAGGGCACAGGATTGTGTCCAGACAGCTCTGGAATATCCCCAGGGAGGGAGACTCCACACCCTCTCTGGGCAATCTGTTCAGGGCTGGGTCACTGCACAGCAAAGAAGTTCTTCCTCATGTCCAGCTGGAACTTGCTGGGATCAGTTCCTGCCCGTTCCTCCTGTGCCATTGCTGGGCCCCCCGAGCAGAGCCTGGGCCATCCTCTGCCCCCTCCCTGCAGCCCCTGACACACATGGATGGGGTCCCCTCTCAGTGTCTGCTCTGGAGGCTGAACAGCCCCAGCTCCCTCAGCCTTTCCCCCTCAGGG